ATCCCACTTATTGTCATTTGATCTTTGATAAGCCTATCAAAAATATAAATTGGGGGAAAGATTCCCTATTTAACAAATGGTGCTGGGTGAATTGGCTGGTGACTTGTAGAAGACTGAAACTGGACCCACACCTTTCACCATTAACAAAAATTGACTCTCCCTAGATAAATATTTAAACTTAAGACATGAAACTATAAAGATTCTTGGAGAGAGTGCAGGAGAAACATTTGAAGAAATTGGCCTGGGAGAATACTTTATGAGGAGGACCCCCTGGGAAATTGAAGCAACACCAAAAATACATTACTGGGATCTGATCAAACTAAAAAGCTTCTACACAGCCAAGAACACAGTAAGTAAAGCAAGCAGACAGCCATCAGAATGGGAGAAGGTATTTGCAGGTTATGCTTCAGACAAAGGTTTGATAACCAGAATCCACAGAGAACTCAAACTTATTAATAAGAACAGAACAAGTCATCCCATTCCATTGTGGGCAAAGGACTTGAACAGAAGCTTCTCTGAAGAAGACAGGCGCATGGCCTACAGACACATGAAAAAAATGCTTATCATCTTTAATCATCAGAGAAATGGAAATCAAAACCACTCTGAGATATCATCTAAACTCCTGTAAGCTGGCTTAGGTAACAAAATCCCAAAACTACAGATGTTGGCATAGATGTGGAGAAAAAGGAACACTTCTGCACTGATGGAGGGAGTGCAAGCTAATTATGTCCCTTTTAGAAAGAAGTATGGACAATACTCAGGGATATAAAAGTAGACCTGCTGTTTGAACCTGCAATTCCTCTACTAGGTGTATATCCAAAAGACCAAAAATCACTTTATAACAAAGATATTTGCACCAGATTATTCATTGCAGCTCAATTCATAATAGCCAAGTCATGGAAGAAGCTCAAGTGCCCACTGACCCATAATAAATTGAGGTATATGTATACCATGGAATATTATGCAGCCTTAAAAAATGATGGAGACTTTACCTCTTTTATGTTTACATGGATGGAGCTGGAACATACACTACTTAGTAAAGTATCTCAAGAATGGAAGAAAAAATATCCAATATACTCAGTACTATTATGAAAGCAATTTACAATCACTCACACTTTCCTATGAAGAATAGATCACAACTATAGCCCAAGATAAAGGAGGGAGAAAGGGTATGGGAGGGGATGGGGAAGGTCAGATCAAGGGAGGGTGAATGGTGGGATCACACCTATGGTGCACAATGCAAGGGTACATGTAGGATCTATTAGTATACAATAGGGGTCCTCAAACTTTTTAAACAGGGGGCCAGTTCACTGTCCCTCAGACCGTTGGAGGGCCGGACTGCGGGCCCCAGGACGAGTCAGTTGCTAAGCAGGACAGGTAGCGGCGGCAAAAACACCCAACAGGCCAGATAAACGTCCTAGGTGGGCTACGTGTGGCCTGCAGGCCGTAGTTTGAGGAAGCCTGGTATAGAGTATAAATGTCTTAACACAATAATTAAGTAAATGAGATTAGGTATATATTAACCAGTGTGATGTAAAGTGTTCCTAATTCTATATGAAATCAGCATATTTGTACCCCATAAATGCATTAATGTATACATGATCTATGTGTTTATGATTTAATATTAAAAAAAGGAAAAAAAAAGAAAAGAAGCAATTAATTTCATATGACTTAATATGTGTACATATTAGAATAAGAAGTCATACCACAATTCTAATGCTGGCTGGCACAGGAGCAATCAGAGCATTAAATAAAGAAGATTTTACTGTCAGAATTTCATTATTCAATTTCTAAAGGCTAGCAGGTATTCTAGAAAAAGTTCTATGAAGAATTCATCACATCTCATGAAAAAATATAAAACAGAATGTCAACTTACTCCCTAAAAGTTCACATACGCAAAAACTCTAAAATCATATACAATATCCATGATAAATCACTTCTGAGCCACATATAAATTTTAAGAACTTTTTAAATAAAATTTCAGGTTTATTCTTATACTATAAATTCATTCCATAATGGTAATATTTCTTAAACCTAAACTTCAATCCCATACTGATTTCAACACTTGACCAAAATGAAGTATTGCATTTGGTGCAGCACTCTAATCTCCTATACACCTTTTCTCAGGAAGCTACTTGACAATATGTTCCACCAAAATGTAAGAAAAAACTAAGAGGAAGACAGACAACCCAGTAACTGGGGATCTAACACAACACAGAAGCAAAGACCAGCTCCATGTCTTGCCAAGTCTACAGAGGATATTCAGTCCAAACAGGAACAGGTCAGAAGGCTGTTTTCTGATTGACTACTTGACACATCTGATTATATGAAGTTATTGACACATTAGCAGTTTAAGAACGAGCAAAGAGCAACTGAGTCAATGAAAAACCTAAAACTGCATGAAAACATGTCATGCAGGAAAGAAAAACTGGATAAGCTGAAAATTGTTTAAAGATGCTGCTGCTATAAACACTGACTATTACAACTAAAGTTCTGATATAAAAATGGAGCTATGAGAAGGGAACAAGCATATTGGGGACAAAGTAGTGGAGAGCTAAACTTTCTTCTTCCACAATGAAAAATTAGTGTTAAGTTTAAATTAAAAATCCAGTTAGGTATAATACCAAAGGATACATGTGTTAAGAAACAGGTAAATGCAAAAAAACAAAAAAAAAAAACCCACTCCAAAATAGTGAAAATAGCTGCCAGCAAGCCTTACAAAACTATTCAAGTACATAAAGCCACACACACAGATTGGACAAAATGAAACAAGATTAACTCTAGTCATATATACACACATGTAACAGACAAAATTCTATGGAAAATATGAAGCAGAGTTCAGTTTGTTAAAACAGCAGGCAAGAAACAACAAGAACTTTTATGGTTAAGTCCTTATAGAGAAGAAAATCTATTTTTTTCCAGAATACCATCTTCCAAACTGCTTACCTTTGACTGTTAGATTGAAACAACCAAGTCTATCACCAGATAATGAGTCTGCACCACACTGTAATACTACAGCACTAGGCTGATACATCTCCATCACTTTTGAAATAATCTACACACAAAAATAACAAACGTTAATATCTTTAAAAACATTTTAAAATTCCATTTCAATTTTGACAATAATGATACTTACAGGCTTAAATATCTGCCCATATGACTCATCATCTATACCATCTCTCATTGGAAAATTGACAGCATAGTATTTGCCTTTTCCAGCACCAATATCCTAAAATAGTTAAATAAATCTTAGAATATATTTTATAATAAAAAATTTGACATTTAGTTTAAAAGACTGAAAGACCAGGTGTTATAAATCCAGTTTTGAATTCATCTGAGAAGTTGAGAGAGGAACGATGTAAACTGAGAAAGGAAAGAACAAAGAATAAGTACACATTCCAATTATCTATACATTGCTGGTAAAGCCTATAAATGAACCATTTCCAATTAATCCATAATCATTTTTGGGAAAAAAGAAATTAACACAGTTAAAGGTTAACATGAAATTACACCATTACGTTGAATCTTAAATAGATACATTAATACAAGATGAGGAGGAAACTTTATGAGCTAAGCCAAAAATGCTGCTGGACCATTCTATCTGTAATGCAGAATCCTTCCTGTGGTTCATAACCTGGTATGATTTGACTTACAAATGAAAGAAAAGGCCCAGACTTTCTTGAAGTTTTAACAGCTATAGACCAAACCACTGCATTTGTTCTTTAATTGGACTTGAAATAAATTTTGTTTCCTCTTCCTGGATGAGCACCATTCCAGGCATTAATATGATCAATAGATCAAAGGTTCTAGCTATACACACGCTCTTAAAGCATATATACACATTTAATATTATTCGTGTGTATATATATTTCGATGTCTGTGTACATAGAAAGATAATATAACAAAGACATTTCCACAAAATAGTTTTAACTGTAACATCCAAAGACTGGGGGTGTACTTAAAGTATGCTTCAAAATATATGAATCTTTACAATTACTGATTTGTAGGCAAATTCTTTCCAAATCTCTCATGGAATGAACTTAGCTCCAATACATTTTTACAAAAGCATAGTTTACTCTCCATATTAAGAGTTAAGGCTTGGCTCCCACAGCAGAGTGGTTACAGTGCCAGTCATATACACTGAGGCTGGTGGGTTTGAATCCAGACTGGGCTAGCTAAACGACAATGACAACTGCAACAAAAAATAGCCGGGTGTTGTAGCAGGCGCTGGTAGTCCCAGCTACTTGGGAGGCTGAGGCAAGAGAATTGCTTAAGCCTAAGAGTTTGAGGTTGCTGTAAGCTGTGACGCCAGGGCACTCTCCTAGGGTAACGTAATGAGACTGTCTCAAAATAAAAGCACCGTAGTCCCAGCTACTTGGAAGGCTGAGGCAAGAGAATTGCTTAAGCCCAAGAGTTTGAGTTTGCTGTGACACCAGGGCACTCTACCTAGGGTGACAGCTTGAGACTGTCTCAAACAAACAAAAATGTTAAGCGTTAAATGAAACAACTTCCAAAGAAGAAAAAGTAAGTGGAATTATACAACTCTCACAAATGTAGACTTAAAGAAGTCTACATTTTTATTTTTATATTAATTAACTAAACACAAACTGTACATGTGGATAAACTAAAAGTACTATGAATTCTTACATTCTTGCATAGCTGAACCACAGTTGGTATATATTCTGATCCTAAAATTTCATAACATGGAAAGTTAAGTCAGAACCTCTCACCCCAGCTGCCGCTAGCTGGCAACTCCGAGCTGCTGCCCTTTGTTAGAACAATCTTTACCTCTTTCATTTCTTATTCCACAACTATTTTTATCACTCTTCTGTTTCTTTTTTCCACCTAAACCACTCTAATTAAAATAAGCAGAATTCTAATGATGATCTAAGCTCAGAGTAACCTTTTCTGCTTTAAAATCAATTAGGGGGAAAAGGGAATGTTTATTAAGATACACAGTTCATAGAACGTCCAGATACAGCTGTACATCAAATGCAATGATTGATTTTAGTTTTCTCACAAAATTATGGGGACACATTTAAAATATCAAATGTTTGCCAGTTAGTTCCTTCAATTTTTTCCTTTCCTCACTTGTTCTTACCTTATAGACCAGTGGTTCTCAAAGAATGGTCTTTACACTGAACATGATCAGCATTTCCTGGGAACTTGTTAGAAATACATTCTCCAGCCCCAGAATGCTGAACCATTCTCAAATCCTTCTAAAACATGCACTCTCCAATATTTTCCAAAAACTTTAAACAAACAACCATAAGAATTATATAAATAATTGTGAAGAGACAATAGTGACATCCATCTACTGTCAGAAAATAAGAGGCTTTTCTAGTAAGGAGAATCAGTAAGAAACAAAATAAAAACAATTTTTTTTACATTAAAAAGGCTTCCATTTGTCACTTCTGAGATTTAGATTATATTGAAAGATATTATCTTATTCTTTAAAGTTAAAGCAATCGAGATTTTTTGCTTGACTTCTGCTAGGATGTAAAGGTTGCAGACAGAGCTACAGAGCTACCGCTTCAGAGCAGTGGTTCTCAAACTTTAATGGGCAGAATCACTCAAGGGTTTATGGGTTCCCAGAAGATGCGGATTCTGTTCAGTATAGAGACCATTCTTTGAGAAACACTGGTCTATAAGACCAAGTAAGGAGAGGGAGAAGTTGCAGGAACTAACTTGGCAAGGAAATGAAATTATAAATCTGCAATTTTAAAAGCCAAACAATTTAAACTTAAACTAAACATCTGACCTCCTATCCATTTATAAGTATAGAAAGGTTTTACCAACATAACTCTTCCTGAAGGAGTAACACACTATATGACCAAATAAAGAAAAGTCCCACATTTGAAGTATATAAGGCCACTCTTCAACAATATACCAAATATGAAAATTACCTTAACAAAATAGTTTAGAATTGAAAGTTAAATGCCTGTTAAGCAAAATCTCCCATATAATCTAGGCTGAACTAAAAATAGCTATTTAAATTTCTGAATAAATTTCAACTTGCATCCAGTTAGGTTCTAAAACACTATGGTGAAGCAAAAACTTTCAATGGGCTTGCAGAAACAGAATTTGACCAGTGGGTTTCATGTTCATAAAAGAGCACCAAATGGAAAAATATGACAGAAATAATGTAATGGAAATAAATGCACTTAATGTTAGGTAGGTAGGGCTAGGCTGTGGTATTCTGTCTCTCCCTAAATAGTACACACTACAAGTTCCAGAAGCCTTAAAAAAAAAAAAAAAAATTAAAATCAGACCTGCTAACTAAAACTAAAGACCAATGACAAAGGAGGACAGAAGAGGGATCTAAAAAGACCTAGTTTATTTATTCTACCAATTTTTACAATTAATAGCAATGAAGGCTACCTACCATCAGGTAGTTCAGAGGATTCATCCTTAACATCAAGAAAAGAGCTTGATGCTTTGTGGATGCTCAGAAATATTTATTCAACCAAAGAAAACTAAGTAAAATTTTTTTAAAAAGTCCTTTTAAGTTTTCGTTAAATTTTTGCTTATACCAGCAAAAGTGAATTGTAACAGATGTTACTGCACATAAAATGATTCAATTTGACATACAAGCTTCAAATCAATGACTCAGGAAAAATATTAGTTCAAATATAGGATTACTAACCACCTAGGTTAATCTCAACATATTTACCCAGATGGATTTAGTCTTACCCTCAAGTCTCCCGTGCCAGGAAAGTATTCCCCATATTTATGGAATGATACAGTCATTACACGATCTGTTGTATAAAAAGCTTCTTCAACACCATCACCATGATGGATATCTATATCAATATATAAGACTCTCTGATGATACCTGAAAACAAAGCCATAAGTTGTTTTTTTTTAAGGTTCTAAGATGAGAAGAACCACCAGGATTCAGGAAACTACTTTTGAGCTCTTGCATTTCAGAATGCTTAACCTTCTTTTTACTTTTCTTCCAGCCTAGGAGTCCATTCAAATATCTGGAGTCTACTTTATCTACTTTTTAAATCTCAAACCTTAGACTTTATAAATTCCCCTTTTGTCCATTGTAGGTAAAAAAAAAAAAAATGTGTTTGCTCTCTTTATAAAATGTCATTTTCTATATAATTTAAAAACATAGTATATGCCTGAGTGCATGAACATGCCCATAATCCCAGCACGTTGGGGACCTGAGGCAGGGGGACTGCCTAAGGCCAGGAATTGAAAACTAGCCTGGGCAACATAGCAAGACTCCCCCACCTCTGAAAATGTAAAAAAAAAAAAAAAACAGCCAGGCATGGTGGTGCATGATTGTCATCCCAGCCAGGGGGAGGATTGCTTGGGCCCAAGAGGTTGAGATTACATGAGTGATAATCAGGCCACTGCACTCTAACCCGAGTGACAAAGCAAGACCCTAAAGTAATGAAAAAGACATTTCTGTGTATTAACAACCAAAGATTTCACCATACTCAAGATTGCTACTTTAATTAAAACCTCTGTCTGATGACACAGTTCTAACTCAAACGCATGAAGGGAGCCACATGGATCATTATACTATGGCATTTCATAACCAGTGCATACCCATGTCAAAACAAGAAAAGGGAAAAGCGACTTCAAGTAACTGCCTTTTAAAGTACAATAAAATGAGGATTATTTTGTTACTGAATTACATGGCACTGTATTTGTTTTGCAATGGTACCACATCTGGACTAAAAGAATACAGTGTAAGTTGACATTGCCAGAATAAGCACACATAATATTCTCAAGACATGAAAAAGCAGTATGTAGAAAACTCAAAAGAATCTACCTCATCATAGCAGAATTTTCTCTCAAAATTTAAAAAACAGAAATGAAGCTATAATCGAAGTTTCTGAGTGGCTCTCGTGCCAGACAAACAAGGAAAGATGTTTAACAAATCAATTAAATAAGCCATGCTTGACTGAACCATCAAAAAAATATGCCCAAGGAAATTAAACTTATTTAAGACAATCAGCTTGGTGGCAAGGCGTTCCTCAAAGAGTTGAAGACAACGGAAACAACATCAACAATCAATTAAAAAACAGGGCAAATGATTTAAAATGGCTTTTTTTAGATCTGACACACAAACAAATACTACACTGACACTGCTCAGTTATTGTTTATTTAAAAAGTCAATACTGGCCAGGTATGGTGGCTCACAGCTATAATTCTAGCACTCTGGGAGGCCGAAACGGGTGCACAGCTTGAGCTCACAAGTTTGAGACCAGCCTGTGCAAAAAGCAAGGTCCTGTCTCTATTAAAAATAGAAAAACTAAGGCAAGAGGATTACTTAAGCCCAAGAGTTGGAGGTTGCTGTAAGCTATGAAGCCACAGCACTCTACCCAGGGGGACAGCTTGAGACTATCTCAAAACAAACAAACAAACAAACAAAAAACCACAGAAACACATAATTGGGCATTGTGGCAGGCACCTGTACTCCTAGCTACTTGAGAGGCTGAGACAAGAGAATCACTTTAGGCTTGG